ATGCACTGTGCTGCTACAAAGCTGCCAAACAGTCCAGAGGTCTTATAATCCAGAGGTCTTAGTATTCTTTCTGTGATCTTCTCTCTCTTGCTCTCTCTTTTTTTTTTTTTTTGGAGTTGGAGTCTTGCTCTGTCGCCCAGGCTGGAGTGCAGTGGCGTAATCCAGTGGCTCAGTGCAACCTCTGTCTCCCGGGTTCAAGTGATTCTCTTGCCTCAGCCTCTCGAGTAACTGGGACAACAGGTGCGTGCCACTGCACTTGGCTAATTTTTTGTATTTTTAGTAGAGATAGGGTTTCACCATATTGGCCAGGCTGATCTCAAACACCTGACCTCATGATTCACCCACCTCGGCCTCCCAAAGTGCTGGGATTACAGGCATGAGCCACCACACCTGGCCCGATCTTCTCTCTTTTATATTTACACTGTATTCATTGGAATTGACCAATTTTAAACTTCACTTTGCTATTGCACACAGTGTTTTTGTAACCTGTGAGCTTCTTGTGTAAAGTAAAAAATAATCTGTAATAGAGCAGACGGCTCACTGAAAGCCTGTGGCTAAGGCATAACCTTGCAGTATGTTCCTTGAAGGGCCCAGTCATCATACCTGGTCACAAAGGAGAGAGACCAGAGTAGGGAAGAGGTCACTGTCCAGTTTAAAGGCATGATATTCTCCTGATATTAGGGCAGAATCTGAGATACCATCGACTGGGCTCATACATAGAGTCCTTATTGTCTCCAAACTGTGACTTTGTCTGTATGGTAAAGTTCTTGCATGAAAGATCTCAAAAGGGAAGTTAATGTTCCATAGCAGATACTGCAGTCATGGGTGTCTCCATTGGGTAGTATTGCTTCTTCTAGGGTGCTTTGATTATGTAATAGGTTTTTTTTTTTTTAAAATACCGAGTCTTTCTCTGTTGCCCAGTCTGGAGTGCAGTGGTGCAGTCTCAGCTCACTGCAACCTTGGCCTCCCGGGTTCATGTGATTCTCCTGCCTCAGCCTTCCGAGCAGCTGGGACTACAGGCACGAACCACCACGCCCAGCTAACTTCTGTACTTTTGATAGAGACAGGGCTTCACCATATTGGCCAGGCTGGTCTTGAACTCCTGACTTCGTGATTCACCCACCTCGGCCTCCTGAAGTGCTGGGATTACAGGTGTGTGCCACCGTACCCAGCCTATGTAATAGTATTTTTTAAGTGGGGGGCATGCTTAAAACCTGAAAGGAAAAACATTAAAGAGTTTTTTTTCCTTTTAAATTTCAGCCCACTCACCTGATATAAAACATCAGCTAAACAATTGACAAAATATTTTGTTATGCCTCAAATTTTTATTTTAATACCAAAATATCTCTGTTGAACAGCATCACTGATACACAACTGTGGGCCAGGTGACCAGGAGAGGGAGGCCCAGTTGTGAAAAGAAAGACATTAGCACAAGGCCTAACTTTGAGATTAGCAAATTTTAACATTACTTAGGAAATTAGGACAGGTCTAATTTTGAGATTAGCTGATTTTTCTCTGTTCTCATTCACTTTGAATTCATTTTGATTCCTTGAGTGAGAGAACTCAGCTCTCAGGGATTTGACCTAGGAGATATTGGCCAAGCTTCACGAAGCAGGAAATCATTTTTGGCTGGAGTGCTTTTGAAACTTAACTAAGGAAACTGAATTCCAAAAATATCTAAGCAAAGTAAATGCTAGCAGCTTTAAACATTTTCCTAAAAATCAGGCAGAAAGCTCTAAAAAAAAAAAAAGTTATGTTTGCTTCCTGTAGGCAGTTTCTCATAGGAAAGACTTTTAAATAAAGTTTCTAGGAAGATTTTGTGAGACCATTCTTTATCTGATGTAATGTATGAAAGCTTATGAAGTTTAAACATTATTCTAAAATCTTTAAAATGTTAACTTATATTATATTTACTTAAAGAATATTTATAGCCGTACAGTGGAAAGAAAGTCTTCCTCAGAATTCTGTCCTTTCACTTTTACGGTTCATGTTCCAGGATGTCTCTGTATTCTGTATACTTTAGGATGAGAGACAGAGAAAACAAAAACCAAGCAAACACAAAAAATTCTACTCCCCAGCCCCCTCCAAAAAAAAAAAAAAACCCAAGGAAGAGATCAGCATCAGTGATGAAGGAACAACAATATGACTTGTTCCTTTCAGCAAGTAGATTTGTAAAATAAATGCAGTTTCACATTATTAAACAATGGCAGTCGTTTGTCATAAAACCTAAATTCTTAGTAGAAAAGAGCATTGAAAAAGATAATCCAAATTTTAAGATAGACTATTGATATTTTCTTCCTCACAGGTATTTTAGGGAACTAGGAAACGTAAATAGTGAGAGGCTGGGAGCCAGAAGAGCGTTGAGTCCCTGTGCTCCGTCTGACTCATGTATATTGAGAGCCTTGCCCTGTGTAAGGCAGCATTTAGATATTTGTGATTCAGAGATGACAGGAGATGCTTAGGTCTGAAGAGCCTTTATTTCCTTTTTGTTAAATCAAACATAACTTATTGATGGAGAACAAATAAGTGGCAAAACCAACCAACCACCCAACAGACAATGAAATAAAACAGAGAAAGGAAATGTTCAGGCAGTCAGTAGTTCCAAATTGAGAAAGCAAGGTCAAGTGTCAGCACCACTGGTTGTAACCTTTACATTCCTAGGTAACTTCAGTGCATCAACTCCACTGAGCTGAGTTAAATGCTGTGCTTTTGTTCCTCTCTTTATTTCAAAGGAGTATTTGTGTAAACCTGTCAGGAAATAAGGGCATGGACAGTAAGAGTCTTTCTTTGAGTCAAATACTAATTTTTTTTGTTTGATTTTTGTTTGTTTGTTTTTGAGACAGAGTCTTGTCCTATCAACCAGGCTGGACTGCTGTGGTGTGATCGTGGCTCACTGCAGCTTCCATTTCCTGGGCTTAAGTGACACTCCTACCCATATCTTTTTGTAGAGATGAGGTCTTGCTGTGCTGCCCAGGCTAGTCTCAAATTCCTATCCCTAAGTGATCCTCCCACTTTGGTCTCTCAAAGTGTTGGAATTATAGGCATGAGCCACCAGACCTGGCTTCACATACTAATTTTTAAAAGTTTAATGAAAAGGCCACTACCGGCTGGGTGTCGTGGCTCATGCCTGTAATCCCAGCACTTTGGGAGGCCGAGGCAGGTGAATCACTTGAGCCCAGGAGTTCAAGACCAGCCCGGACAACAAGGCGAGACCTCACCTCTACAAAAAATACAAAATTTAGCTGGGCATGGTAGCATGTGCCTGTGGTTCCAGCTACTCAGGAGGCTGAGGTGGGAGGATCGATTGATCCCAGGAGGTCAAGACTGCAATGAGCCAAGATCACGCCACTGCACTCCAGTCTGGGTGTTGGGTGACAGAGCAAGACCCTGTCTCTCTCCCTCTCTCCCTCTTTTCCTCTCCCTCTCTCTCTCTCTCTCTCTCTCACGCACACACACACGCACACACACACACACACACACACACACACACACAAAGATAAAAGATAAAAGGGCGTTATTATTTTCAAATAATGTGATTCTAGGAGTTCAAGACGAGCCTGGTCAACATGGTGAAACTTCATCTCTACTAAAAATACAAAAATTAGCTGGACGTGGTGGTGGGCTCCTGTAGTCTCAGCTGCTTGGAAGGCTGAGGCAGGAGAATGGCTTGAACCTAGGAGGCAGAGGTTGCAGTGAGCCAAGGTCGTGCCACTGCACTTCAGCCTGGGCAACAAAGCGAGACTCTGTCCCCTGCCCTCCGAACCCCCCAGTGTGATTTTTGGTTATAAAAGAGCTGCCTGACTTGGAGTGATGAAGATTTCCTGGCTGATTGAAGGGATAAAGTGTAGCTACACTTTCTGTGGTTACGTGGTAAAGCCAGAGTGTTACAGTTTCATCTTAGAACAGGCTTCAGAGATGGAAGAGCTTTTTTTCACTGTAGACAATAGCAGGGTTAAGAAAAGTACATAGTTGAGCTCTATTTACATTTTTTAAAGGGGTTCTAAAAGCAGGCATTTTCTGTGTGTTGTAGTCAATGTATAACAGAAAAAGATACTTTTTTAGTCAATGTGAATTTATAGACAAATATTGAAATGTACTTTTGTGCCTGCTTTTTTTTTTTTGCTAGCCCATTAGACACAGTTGATGTGCCTATATTTTGAAAATGAATTGTCAAAATATGTAAATTTTGAAAAGTGAGGAAATCAAGCAGATTTCATTGAGTTGCATTTGTGTTCTCATTGTCTTATACTTGAGTTTTGATTAATGATTTTATTTGATTTTACCAGATCTTTTTGCCATTTGTTTGCATGTTTAGCATGTGTACAACATACCATGTTAATTACTTTGAACTTAGTGGGCATGCAGCATACTGCCTGGCATATAGCAGGTGCTTAATAACTGTTTGAATTCATGAATTTAATGGATGGCTATGATAATATGTTGTATTAAGATATTTGCTGATATAATTTTTAAATGATCCATCTTTTTCCATTAACTGTGTATTTTCAGATGTTAAAAGGGGTTGTTATGTAACCTCCCAGAAATAAAATATTAATATTGATCTTTAAAAATTAGATTTTTTTTAGCGATCACAGTAGAGTGATTGACATTAAAAAAAAATTGTGTTATATGAAAACTATAGTGAACATTCCTGGAAGTGGGAGTGGCAGGTAGGGAGTGACAAAGGGTGAAGAGACTTTCTGTAGAAAATTAAGAATAAATCATCAAAAATGTTTCCTGATAATAGATATGTCAATAATTTAATTATTTTACACCATATTAGTTTCTTCTCTTGGAGAGAAAGATACTCATATATTGTCGATTTTTATATTATGATTGGGCTGTACAAAGTCTGAGCTAGTAATTCTCCACCCAAAGTTGAAAGTTGTTACATTTTATGGGTTGTGGCGCATCTTGAAGGTTAGGAGATAATGTTTGCCTTCTGTATATGTTAACATTGTCACTATGGTTACATTAACTCTTTAATCTCCTCTTTCTAGTCGTACAGTTTGTCAAGAAAGAAAATAGTGCACTACACCTGTTTTGACCAACGGAAAAGGGCAAATGCAGCATTTTTGATAGGTGCCTATGCGGTAAGTACTTTCTTCGTGATTATTTTCTATAATCAGGCCAGTGAAATGCTAACACTGTCAAAGAAAATCCAGACCAGTTTTTCAGTGGGATTGAGAGATGGTGGAGATTATTAGCACTTTGGGAATTGATCTGTGGTAGGAAATGTGGACTAGCAGTGGTGGGGTGTTTAGTCTTTAGATTTTTTTTTCTAGCAGTTAGCGAGAGAATCTTGGAACTGCAATATGTAGCTTGAATTCCACAGTTGTATGGTGTTTTAATAAAAAGAATAGTACCAAGGATGTTTCTAGGAAAAAAATATGTGTATGTGCATGTGTGTATGTTTAAATGAATGAAATATGATATTATGGAAGATTTTTAAAGACTATTGAAGTGTTCCTTTTTTGGGAGAATAGGAAATCCTAGATTGCACAGGGGAGGATTGTTATTATTTTTATCAATCCATTCATTTATACAGTTGTTTGCGGTAAGCAAACTGAATATAAATCCTGCATATATTATAGCTTCCCTAATAACTAGATAAGACTTTTCTAAAACTCATTTCAATTAGAAATTTTGTTCTCTGCAGGCACTAACATGTCAGTATGAATTCCACATGACCATGCTACGGAGTTTTAGAGTGGTGATTCTGGAATTTTCTATGTATGCTGTGATTGGGCAAAAGCTTGGGAAGCAGAAACCATCAGGGGTAAAACATACTTGCAGGGACATGTGTGACAACCAGTTAGGAATATGCTGGTTTAAAGGCAGGGAGCAGAGAGGTGTCATTTCCCCTCATCCTTGGGGAGGGCTGGTGCTTCCCTGAATCCCTGGAAGCAACACTGCTGAGTGACCTTTAAAGGACCTCATTCTAAGGACCTTGAAGGAAGAGGGCACCAGCTACTAGACCTCAAACTCTGCCCCATCATCCCAAAAGCCCAGCAGTATTGCTGGAAAAGCTGTCAGCTGTTGCAGCGGTCAGGCCGAGAAGAGTGGCAGGCTGTCAGCCAGGCTGCAGGCTCAGGCCCTCCCTTCTAGCACTGAGGTGCCCAGCCCTGCCACTTTTTGTCCCTTGATGTGACAAGCCTTGGGCCATCCTTTGTGGCAGCATTCTCTCTTGCTCTGTAAATAGCATGATAAAGTACAAGGAATAGTGGCTAAGAGTCTGAAAAACATGTTTTTCGTCTAGAAGGGCTCTGTGATGATGGACTTTATCTCTCTCAGCTTTATTTAGTTTCCTTATCTGCAAAATGAGAGGGTTGGATGTAATGACCCCTACATTTCCTTTCAATTCTTAGGATACTAAGATTATTTGTAGTGCCAGTCAGGCTATTGCTTTTATTTTAAGCGCATACATGAAAAGCTGGCAGTTAGCATGAAGGTTCAGTGAAGTGCTGGTAAGCTGAATATTTTTTACCTTACATTGATAATGACTACTCATTTGAAATTGATGATTGACACTGTGATTGAAATATGGAGAGAGTCTGTACTAATTTCTGGATTCAAGCCCTGTAAACAAATGTGTTTTTCCTGCAGGGTTTTGTGATACTTTGCAAGCATGTTACTTGTGGAGCCTTTCTTATAAAGGATTGCCAGCAAGAAGAGGTCATTTGCTGCTCTTCTCATTTCTTTCTTTTTTTGTGTGTGTGACCAAATGGTTTTTATTCATATACATCTGGTTCATCTGCCTAAAGTGTGCAGAGCAGTGTTCAGCACACATTAAGCTTGATATAACAGTTACTGTGATGATGATGACAACGGTGACTCTGTATAGTCACTGTGTTTCTGAAGTCTTGCTTGGTAATCAACAATGTGTTTAGAACTATCTCTTTATTAGACCAAGTCATAAACCAAAAGTTTCCAACTTCCTGTACATGTTGAAAGCTTTAAGTAAAGATCATTGGATACAAAACATTGCCCACATGGCTCAACATTAATTCTGTGACATAATATTGTTCTGAAGTCATACTTATTTTGAAAGCCTAAAGGAATTTTTTATGGCTGTAAAAATACCACCAAGCTAGACATTTTAATTCTGATGAGGTATACAAATAGAATTACCACAGCAACCCACACATTCTATGATTTCTAAATATTTTCACATCAATAGTTTTGGGAAGATGCTGTTGTCTTTTACAGTTCACATGCCTTTTGTGAAAGCCCAGCTTTTCTTTCACCTGCGTTCTGGGGACCTCAGGTTTGCCCTACTCTTCTCATTTCTTTATCCATTTTTCCCTCCCTTGTATCTTCTCTCTCTTCTTTCCGTATTTATTTATTTATTGAGACTGAGTCTTGCAGTGGTATGCACTCTTTCCTCAGACTCCTGGGCTCAAGCGATCCTCCTCTTCCAGCCCTCCCTAGAAGGTGGGACTGCAGGTGTGTGCTACCACACCCAGCTAATTTCATTTTATTTTTATAGAGATAGTGCCTTGTTTTGTTGCCCAGACTGGCTTTAGGACTCTTGGCCTCAAGTGATTCCCTGCTCTGGCCTCCCAAAGAGCTGAGATTACAGATGTAAGCCACCCAGACTCTTCTTTCCGTTTGAACACCTATTCTTCCTGTTTTGTTTAGTGTGGTTCTTTATTTCATTAGGTTGCCTCTAGAACTTTGAAAGAGTTATAATAGATGCATTGAGCTTGTGATAAAATACTCTGTGATAAAATATATCTTCTAATGCAGAAGTTTCCACTACTTTAAAGCAACCAAAGGGGAAAAAGCAATCCTAGCATGGTGGAAGAAGTGCTGAGTACAGCATGAGCTTGACTTACATGGTAGTTACAGTCTTGAGAAGCAGTGTAAAGTGGCTGTTCTTGAACTGTTTGTGTCACAATTGATTTTTCTAATTTTGGAACAGCATTCCCCAGAAGGCTTTTTGACACAAACCCTTAATACAAGTGGAACTAAGAATTGCAGTGGATCCTTAAAGGGAATTTTATACCTTTCTTCATATTGTCTGTTTGTATTTAGTTGTTGACAGTCTTATAAGAAGATAGTGAATAATATGGATTCTACATATATCTCAGTTAAAATTTACATATATTAAATGTTGCTAGTTGGTTAGGTCTCCATTTTCTGGAGGAATCTTCTCTGGATTCAAAATACCTTTTCGGAGCAGCCATGTAACTTACATGAGGCAAGCTAGGTGGGTAGGCTTATTTTACCAGAGAGAAGTCCTTAACAGTGAACGTGTCCCTGTTCTTAAAATGTGGAATCAGCCCTCTTTTAAGGGGCATTGACTGACGAATAAAAAACAAACCGTTTTCTCAAAGCCTTAGTTTTCTTATTTGTAAAATTTGGATAATACCAGAGTTTCCTTATCTACCTCACAGGATTACTGTAAAGATCAAATATCTAACTGCCTGTTTGATAGCACCAAATTATATGTCTAAATGATACATCAAATTTATTGTGGCAAAATGAAGTTTTTATTCCTTCTCTCCCTAAATGTATTTATTTCCCAAGTCCTTCCCTTTTTAATGAGTGGACTACCACCAGTGACTTGCTAAATCAAACGACAGTAGTCATTTTGATTTCTTTTGTTCGCTCGTCCCACATTATCCTTATTCGTAAGTTTGATCAGCTCCACCTCTAAAACATATTGAATCAGAATTTATCTTTCTGTCTCTATTGCTATCACCTAGCCCAAGCTACTGTCATTGTCCACCTGGATTATGACCACCGTTTTATATGTTACCTCTTTTTATATTCTTGCTTCTTGTTAATTTAGTTGCCATACAATTGTCAGAGTAATCTTTTAAAATTGTAAATTAGATCACATCATTACCCTGTTTCAGATCTGTGATTGCTCACTGATCTTGGCATAAAATTTATCCTTACCAATTCCATTAAAATCCTTTCTGATCTGACCGTCTCTTCCTCTGTGATCTCCTTGCTCAAGATGCTCCCCTCATGCTGAAATTCCATGTTGTTGCTCCCAAAGAGCCTTGATATTTCTGTTCTATAAGGAATGTTCTTACTTCAGACCTCTGCATGCCTTTCCCCTTCTAATGTTACCTTTTCAGAGGGATTTTCTCTTAATTTCTACCCTTTTACTTCCACCCCTAGTCATTCTTTAGGCCTTTGCTGCTTTGTTTTCTTTACAGCATGCGTTTGAAATTACTTTGTTTATGCATTTACTTGCTTATCTCTTACCCAGACTGGAGGATAAGGACTTTTTTTTTTTTTTTTTTCTGTGTGTGGCGGGTGATAAAATATTTAAGAAGGGGTTAGGCCGGGCATTCACCAGTTGAGTTGGAGGTTGGGACAGGGTCCTAGAGGCTTCTTGCTTTGCTGAATCATGGAGAAATCTAGGGCTTAGAGGGTGGGGGTTGGGGTGGGTCCCAAGGAAGAGACTAGGGTGGGTAGTGTGGAGTGGTGTGCTGTGGGCTGCAGCCATTTACCAACTGCTATGGAACTATTTCAGTATTTGAACACTATCAATTTAGAACTATACCTGGCACATCATGAGTGTTCTGTAAATATCTTTTGAGTGAATGAATAATAGGATGACAAAACACGAAAGTAAGAAGGAAATATATGGGGAACTCCTGAAAATAATGCAGTTATTTCTTCATTATTTCTTCAGTAGTGTCTTCCCCTTTACCAGAATATTTGTAGTCATGACTGAGCTGACTTTGGTCTTAAAAGATGCAGAATCAAAGTAAATCAAAGTAAAAGTCATAGACCAAGGGCAGTAACCGGTATACAAAATTACAACACTATCTAGCCTTTTAAAAAAAATAAAAATAAACATATTTTCCCATTTTTTTTGTGGTAAAATACACGTAACATGGAATTTGCTATCTTAACCATTTTAAAATGTACAGCTCAGTGGTATTAACTACCTTCCAATTGTTCTGCCACCAACACCGTGGTTTACTTTTGAATGTGCCGTCTTGTGGCACTTGTGGTTTCTCTGTTAGATGATGTCCTCAAGTATTTCACAGCTTTTTTGTGTTTTCTTATATCTAAGTTGGGGGAGACCTTTTATACTTTCTCATATAGGGCTGTCATGAGGATCAAA